GAATTGAAGGATGTAAAACCTAATAAAAAGGAGAAAGAAACCAAGAAAACAAAGCAAATTCTTAACAGCTTGAACATAGCTCTTTTACAATACCATTATGGCATTCATGTACATTTGCTTAAAGAAATCATGGTGAGGGAGCAGCAATTAATAGAAGATGTGTCTGAAAACTCAAGAAATTATTTCTAAACCGATAATAAAGCATTCCAAACAACTCATCCTAACGTAAGGGGCAAGATCTATGTTATGCAACATCCTTACAAGTAATCAGGCAAAATATTATCCAATTCAATGAAGAATCAGTTCAAATTGTGTAGGCAATTTTCAGCAAAGAAAAAAGAAAAAAAAAAAAGAATGTCACAAGTTTTGAAGGAACCTCTTTTGGAATCTCATGAGGCGTCGATCACCTTCATGCCTATCAGAGTCGTGTGACAGGTCCTCTTTAAGCACATCATATGTTGTTAATACAATGTCAGCACTGATGAGTTCACTAATATTAATTACAGATGTGTTTGAAAAAGAAGTCCCCCTCACACCTTCATAGATACAAGTTTTTAAGGAACCTGAACGGGTATGACTGGTACAATTAGAGAAGTCAGTAGGTATCACATCCATCATCTGGAGATAAATAATTCAGAAACAACATCTCAAGACGATCTTAAGCAATAAATACAATCAAAATTGAATTGATTTACCAAAAATGAATTGTCTAAGTAGTTTTGAAACCTTCACTCAATAGAACTATGAGCAATTCATCCATATACAGAACATGTAAACTAAGCACAGATGAATGCCAGTAGGTACCACCTACGTGCATGCACATGAATATTGACTGCATGTAAGTGTCTTACAAGCAGTTAAAACTAACTATATGTGACTGTAGCAGCCAATAAAGTACTAAAAGTTTAAGAAGGCAAAATTAAATAGTAAACGTCGCAATCTTTGGCAGATGACAATGAATCCCTAGATAAGGCTAATAATTTGCTAATCTTTTCTACTTAACTCTGGTACAAAGATGATAATTATCTTGCTAAAGCTACTGGAGTCCAAAGATATCTTACCACATGCTTAGGTTAGCCCACATGGCAGTACATCCCTTAATGAATGCAATCATTGTTATATCTTAATGAATCCAAAGAAATTGAAGGATAACTTACCAAGTTTTTATACAGTTTAACAGCCTTATTCTTTTGGGATAAATTACAGTTTAGTGAAACCAACTTTACAGAAAAGTAGACTTTAATCCACTCTTTAAGAGTACTGAGATTTGCAAATGCAAGATAGTTAAAAAATAAAATATACCGCATAATTTCAGCATGCCATTGGGGCAATATAGGAGCCGGACAAATTATAAGAGTGGCACCAGTAGCAATAGGAGAGTTAGTAGCATGTATCAGCTCTGAGCATAGCTGGCAAATATATTTCCCATCTCTCACAACTATTGTAGTTGTATTCTTCTTTCTTATGTACTTATTAAGCACTGAACTCTTTCCACATTCTTTTCCATTAGAGGCCTCTGAATAACCCACACAGTCTGCATGTTGCCATGCATCACATACGTCACACTGTACCCATAATCCTTTGTATGACCTATTTTCACTCACAGCTCCACATATACATTCAACTCGCTCTCTTTTTAATCTTTTAATATTGACTTTCAGATCCTCGGTAGCTTGAGATTCAGAATCAGCAAACATGTTGTCTTCATCTGCCGACTTCCGATGAGCAAATATGCAAGCAAGAAGCTCAACAGTTTTCCCCATGCCCATCTCATCTGTGATAGTCATAAAAGACAAATTTCAGACAAAGCAATTAGTGCAAGACCAGTCTTTCCTTCAGAATGAGAAATATAATCCTGAAGAAAGATAAAACATTAGTAAGCATATTTCTTCCATTACCATCATTCCCTCAATGAGCCACACCCATTAATTTTTTGAAAAAGCAAAGGGACTAGTTGATAGAGAACTTCCCTAAATATGTAGTGGAAGAAATTTTAGGAACTGGTAGATGGAAAAATTCCATTAATTTGTGATATATGTTTCATGCCTAGGTTTTTGTTCAGGCAGGGCTATATGATTAAACTATTTCAGAAACCTAGGCAGTCGCATGAAACCAGCTCCCTTGATAAATTGATTGGACTATAAAAGTGACAGATTCTGATTGTTTGATAAGGCATTACTCTTAACATTTACATGCTACCAGTAAGTACCATAGATCATCATGTTATTATAATTAATTTTAATATTTAACAGTAATAAAGCTAATGGTACATAAAGATCAGGTTTCAGACCACACTGAAATTCAATATCTGAAAAATCTAACAAATTTCAGACTGTCTCCAAGAAAACATATGGATACATGCAAGAGAACGTAGAGCAGTGGGATTACCTGCAAGAATACCACCAAAGACGTAAGCTGACAAATTCTGTGGATGCAACGAAACACTTCCACTGAAATACATTTTCAAATTTGCAGTAAGCATTAGATAAGGACAAAGAGAGAGAGAGAGAGAGAGAGAGAGAGAGAGAGAGAGAGAGAGAGAGAGAGAGAGAGAGAGAGAGAGAGAGAGAGAGAGAGAGAGAGAGAGAGAGAGAGAGAGAGAGAGAGAGAGAGAGAGAGAGAGAGAGAGAGAGAGAGAGAGTGAGTATGCCAGAATGAAAGAACTCGCTTCAAAGGTAAACCAACATGTGTAAGAAATTCAGTACCTGAATGGGTTATAGAAAATTTTTGAACTTGTGTCAAGAAATTCCAAGGGCAAACATAAAGGTGATATGAACTGACTTTTCTCCTCTTCGGCCAGACTTTCTGCATCTCCTTTCTCTCTCTGTACCATCCAGTAAGCTGCACGGCGCTGATATGGCTTCAATTCAGGAAGCAAATCCGGCATGTCATCTTGAAGCATTGCATCTGCTCTGTACACAAGATGCAATGGAGATTAAACTCAAAGATAAATAGACAGAAAATTTTAAAGTTGGAAATAGACTATGACATTGAAGAGTGGTGATACTCACTTTGATGGTTTAATGGCTTCATAGAACCCAGCAACATCAAACCTTGCATGTTTACTAGGTCCTGAATTAGCCTCTCCAGTCTGAGTATGCAAATCAGCTTCCATTTCTGTTGATTTACTGACTCCGTACCTAGCCTCTGAAGTCATTACTTCAGGATGAAGCCAAGCCATGACATTCAACATACTCTTTTTCCAGAGTTGCCTAGTATTAGTGTCCAGCAGTGACTCACAAGCATCAAATGCACTCTTAAGTATCTCCACCCTAACCCTGATGGTTGACATATCATCCGCAAACCCAACCCTCCGAGCTGGCCTCAGTGTCATAAACTTCAAACTTGCCAAGTGAACAAGCCCAGAGATACCTTCATCCGGTCCATCAAAACTCCCTGATAAAATCACAGATAACCTTTCCATATTCTCTGTTGGACGTTTTTTAATGAATTCCAAAGATATATCAGCAGAGGATAACACAGGCCAATGACCACCACACTTTATACGAATGATATGCTCATTCATGTTGCACACTCGAAACCTTAAGGAGTAACTATCCTGATTAAAATCCTCACCAAATCCGTCACCAGAAAACTCTTCTCCCCAAGTCAAATCTGTTAAAACAACTTCAGCAATATCAAGGTGCTCATCCGAAACCCAACAAGACCGAACAACTTCCACAAAATATGGTTTCTCAACTTTATCCAGCTCATTCTTTCGTGATTCCTCGGTTGAAAGCTTATCTTCAGCAACTTCTGCCTGATCAGCATTACTGTGACTCTTTAATATTACCCCACCGGATCGGTTCGGCCGGCTTTGCTTCCTTCTACCCATCACTCTAAGCAAAAAAACCTAATTGACACACTGTGAATTCAAAAGCACCCACTATAGTCATGTACCCCAAAAATGCAAATTAATGAGTAGCTTCAGGTTTAAGATGGTAATAGAAGCACGCATAGATTTACATTCACAATTGTAATTTTTAACTCTAAACACCAAAAAAATAAAAAAGTAACAAGATATTTGCTTTCCTTATCATTCACTTGTAATCATAATTTTGGCTCAAATGGTTTCCCAGAAAGAAACTGAAAAGAAAGAAGAAACATAACTTCACAAACAAAAAAGAAGGTTTCTTTCGTGGGAATAATAAGAAGCACTTACAGGTAACTGGGAAAGTCACAGAATTGTCATACAAGAGAATGAAATTTAAAACTTGATAATCAGAAGATGTGCACTGGACTGGAGCAAAGCAATGTGAGGGACTATGATATAATAAGGATACAATTAAGTAAAAGTAGAAAAACAAAAGGCAACAACGTACAAATTCAAATGAAACATGGAAAATACTCGAAACAAATAAAGAGATTTTAAGGATTTGAACCTTAAAATGGCTCTGTTTGTGTGAGCTGCTGAGAATCAAGAGCCGGGCCGGGCACGGTCTCTCTCCTCCCGGGTCTGAACTCACGCGCGAGTTGCGAGTTGCGAGTCGCGAGTCGCCAAGGCGCAAATTTGTATTAGACTTTTCCTGTGCTTGTTGTGACAAGAGCTTGGCTAACGTCACAGTCACAGGTCAACGACATCTTCAGTAAATTTCTTCAGTTTCTAGCATTTTTATTGGCCCGTTATTTTACCTTGAGTTACAGCCAGTTGTCAAATTCAGTTATTCTAGCGCGGTAAATATGAGTTAAATTCTCCTGTGCCCATTTTTAATGTGTCCTCCCAGTCCCCTCCTTGTCCTTCTGACACCTGTCCCCTCACTTAATTGTTTTATTAAAAGCAGGTTTCCTTGTTCATCTTCTTCTCTGCAACCTCTCCACCACAACCACCTCAGCGGCGGCAATCCCCCCAAGCCTCCTTTCCTCTCTTCCAATCCAAATTTTCTTCTTATTTTCTTCAGCCTTGGAGGCTTTAACCCGTCAAATATAGGTTTTGGAACGACGGCGTTTGAGAAACATTCCCAAAAACAATTTCAATCTCGATGAAAGGGGGAAGGAAGAATCTGAAGAGGGCAGTGGAGGAAGAGAGCTTGACCCTCAAAGATGGTCACTCTATAATGCAAGTGCTTTCTCTCCGTGGTTCCAATCTCATTGAGGTGCTCTTCTGTTCACTCAACTCAATCAGCTAAACCTATTTATTTATTTATTTAATTTTATTTCCAATAGAGAAAAACCCTTCTAAAACCCTGTTCAAATTCAATATCTTTCTTCAATAAATGACTTGGTTGTAGTAAAGTTCCAGTCTTTAACCCTCGAAGCTATATTTGTTTGAAATCCAGCTTCTGCTTTGTAGTAAACTACCAGTGTTTATGAAAAAGCACCAGTGGGTGGCTATAAGCTTATTGGGTTGGCTCGGCTCGTTCACCTATGCCCTAGGACTTCACTCAAAATCATAAAGGGATGTGGTTGGGTTGGGATAATTCTTAGATTGAAGTTGTGGTAGTAAGGAAAATTATTTAAATTTGTACTGCACAATGTGCTTATTGCTTACCTTTGATTCTGCTCTACTTATTGAAGATCATGGATGGACAAGGAGAGAAATCTTTGGCACTGTTTCCAGCTAAATTTCAAAAGAGCATGTGGATAAAACGAGGTCTGTTGTTGACTGTTCCCTGTAAAGTCAACCAATTTCAAGAAATTCTAGTAAATGTACCCAAAAGTAAAGACATTGTTTTTGCGTTCATTTTGTATGCAGGGAGTTTTGTTGTTGTTGATGCAAGTGGAAAGGAGAAGGTTCTTGAATCTGGCAGCAAGGTGGGATGCATTGTTTCGCAGGTTCTATTTTACGAGCAAGTTCGTGTGCTTAAGAAATCACCAGAGTGGTGTGTATTCTCCTCCCATCTTAAAATGATGTGCCACTATCTCACTATATGCGGCCGCTCTCTGAAACGCCGCTTGCATAAGCATGTGATGTTCCTTTGTGTTTTGGTTACCAGACTTTGAAAACTCCCTCAATTTTCACCCTGGCTTCCGTCATATGTGTGAAGGTCTACTGTTGCAGCATTATGTTACAACTTAATAAAGTTGAAACTGTCAAAATTGTTTTTTTTAATAGCCATCCAACAAGCCTCCACCGTAGTATCCATGCCTAGCACATAATCCTACTGAAGGATGGAAAAAGGTAGCTCATGGAAGTGTAGTGTAAAATCCTGCAGCCTTGTGGCACATTTTCTCTAATGTGTTAAGTGTTTGCTAAGAGACGGGCACTTGCATGCATCTCCTCCACCTCATCTTCTTTTGATTCTCCATGTTTGTCTTTTGTTTTTTGCGGGTCTTTTTATGCAGGCCAGAAATCTTCAAATCCACAGTTTCAGATGGATGCAATGCAAGTCTGCAGGGAGACACCTCCCAACAAGAAGAGAATGAGCTTGACTCAAGTGATGATGATGGACTTCCTCCACTAGAAGCCAACACGAACAGGATGAAACCAGTTGATTGGAAATCGGACACAGAATCGAATTCTGGTACAGATACAGATTCATAATTCAGAATCAGACTTAGGTTCAGCAACTGGTTCTTGGATAGTTATGCAGAAGATGTATGCTGAAAAAGATCAAATGAAGTGAGGATAACAATGTCAAACTAGTGTCCGGAATTTTTGGACAGAATTTTTGTTGGATTGACCCTATATGTAATCATGTACTGAAATACAAACACGCTATTACTAGCGCAGGAACATTAACCAATCCATTTATTTGTAATGTTTAAACGTATATGCAGAGCCTTCTACATGGAAAGATTTGTCATTCGAAGTCTAGAAGTGCAGTTTATTTATTTTTATATCGTGAATTCAAAGACCGCACAGAGCCAATTCTCTTCTTTGGCCGGACATTTTATGCAGAAGATGTTTAAAAGTTGAAGTTGGTGGTTTGACAAAAAATAGAAATTGAAGTTTTGCAAAGAAATCTTTCAGCAGCAGAAAAACTTATATGAAAGGGGGCAATCCAAGTGAAAAAGTTATCACGCAGGTAATTCCATGATGGCATAGCGTGATTGGCAGGGATTCTACACAAATGATTTTCCTCAGGGAGGAGGGTAAGAGGGCAACAAACAAGTCTTTATAAGAATCGCGCCAGTAGTGAACTGCCTAGCCACGTGGCATCTTCCCTTTCACTTACGACTTGTGTAACGTTGCACAAAATTACAAAACATGTATATTTTCTTTCTTTTTCGGAGATTATACACACAGAGAGAGATTCGAGAGTGAGAGCAATTAGCAGCCATTCACAAACTGACAGTATAGCAATTGTCGCAACGCCGTCGTTGAAGGTGACAATAAAATTGATTTAAAGAAGGAAGAGCAACCAAGTTTCCAAATTCCCAGCCCTGAATTCATTTTCAAAGATTTTGATTTTTTTTTTTTCGTTTTGCGAGTGAAGAGATGGCTGTGGCCATGGTCTCAGCTGTGAGAGGCGGTCGCTTACCATCATTACATCACCATCATCGCCGTCAAATGATTCTGAGCTCATCATCTTCATCATCAATTACTGGTAGTTGGGGTTCGTTAAGACCATGGAAGCAGCTCAATTGCCTCTCCAATTCAAAGGGCTTCACTCTCTTGGCCCGCTACACACAAGCTCGGGATCTTTTCTCCTCTCGCTTCCAAGGTACTTTATTTCTCTCTCCATTTCACTTTTGGATTTCATGTTTAAATTTTGGGTTCTTGGGTTAGCTCAATCTTAATCTTTATTTGGTTTTTTTGTTTGTCTTTCACTACCAAACACACCCACATGAACATGAATAGTAGATTATACAGGATTTCAAACTTCTACTATGGTTATGCTGTGCTCATATTGATATGTCAAATCATGAAGAAACAAGCTTTGAAACTCTTTCGTACTTTTATAACAATTTCTTGGTGTTTCGTTTAATGGGTACCTCGAGAAATGATGCTCCTTTTTTCACTTCTTTTAATTGAGCCATTAGCGGTTGCCTTTTCCGTTAAAGTAAGGTTGTGAAACCTAGCTTTAGAAACTGTTGGACCAGAAGTAAAACTCTTTTGCTTGGCTGACAGTAATATTCTCAGGAAAATAAGGAAATTTTGATTCTCGGGTTTTTTCTCAGACCTGCTATTGCTCTTTTCTGAATTCAGTTTAGACCTTGGCATGAACATTCTACTCTGCATTGTTCAAGTTTGAATTCTTTGTTTTCCTGATCACTCTATTGATTTAGTACTTTGAGCTAAAGCTAGAAGTTCTTGTTGTTATCAGATAGTATCCAAGACTTGCCTAAACTGGTCGAGGACATTGTCCAAACATCAATAAGTACAGGTCCACGCGGTGCCCTTAGAATGGCCCAAGGTATTCAAGCGTTTATTGGGGTAGGTGGGGAGTGGCTTGCTGACATTTCAAAGGTAACAGGAACTTCAATTTTTATTGTGATACTGTCTTTATGCAGTCTAAGTTATTTCCTGTTGAATGACAAAATGAAATTATCTAGCCAATTCCAATAAATTGGATTAAGACTTCGCTTTGTTGAGTACTCTGTTAATAGCTAGGCATTGGTTAATTTAATATCCATTTGAGTTGACATGACTGACCCTTTTATCTGACGACTATGCTCCTAAGTGACCCTACCTTCTGTTTGTAGTCAGCAAACTCATCTGCTGGATTACCAACCCAAATGCAGCTTGGACTGCTATCCCCCCTTTATTTGAGGAGATTGTTTGAGCGCATGGGGGCAACCTATATTAAGTTGGGTCAGGTAAGTCTTGATTTTTGATGGCATGCAAATAGCATCCATGATTACCAATAAACATGTCTTGGGTTCCAAATGGGTATTACGTACACCTTTTTTATGCAAAGTATCATGACTATGGCCACTCCATAAGTTTATTCCATATATCCAATGTAAATTATTCAACGATTAACTTGTCTTGTTTCTTTCCTTTACTCTCTTTCTTCATGCAACGTGCACAATCACTAATGATAACTTACTTGCATATGGTAGTTCGTTGCATCTGCACCAACATTGTTCCCATCAGAATATGTTGAGGAATTTCAGAACTGCTTTGACAGAGCTCCTGCAGTACCCTTCGTGGAGATTCAAGCAATCTTGCGTCAGGAATTGGGGAAACCAATAGAAAGCGTTTTTGAATATGTTGATCCAACTCCACTTGCTTCGGCCTCAATAGCACAAGTTTTTTTCTCTTCCTTTCTGTTGTCACATTTTCCTCAATCCATTTTTTAAGCTTGGTAATAAGAATTGTGATATTGTATGACTAGGTTCATGGTGCAAGGCTAAGAGGCTCCCAAGAAGATGTGGTTATAAAGATCTTGAAACCCGGAATAGAAGATATGTTGGTTGCAGATCTGAATTTTGTTTACATTGTTGCCCGCATTTTGGAGTTCTTGAGTCCCGATATAAGCCGTGCTTCATTGGTATTGTGAACAGAAATTTGGACATTTGCAAAAAATGACTTTAATTCTTATTTTGGATGACAAATACAAGTGTGCTAATTAATTTCATAAGAAGTTTCCATCGTAATCTGTTCATCCTTTCAGTAGGTTGGTATTGTGAAAGACATACGGGAATCCATTCTTGAAGAAGTTGATTTCTACAAGGAGGCTGCAAACATTGAGTCCTTCAGAAGATATTTAGAAGCCATGGGACTCACAAGGCAGGCTACAGCTCCAAAAGTGTATCATCAATGCAGCACCAAACGAGTTTTAACAATGGAGAGGCTATATGGAGTTCCTCTTACTGACCTAGACACTATAAGTTCATTTGTTTCTAGTCCAGAGACCAGTCTCATAACTGCCCTTAATGTGTGGTAAGACTTAAATATTCTATCCACAATTCATGTGCTTGAAATTTTGTGTTTAATCATGTGTCAATGTTTTGATCTTGTCTCTTGGTATTAAATATTTCTGCAGGTTTGGCAGTTTGCTTGGCTGTGAAAGCTTCCATGCAGATGTACATGCAGGAAATTTGTGGTTGTTGCGTGATGGCCGTATTGGGTTTCTTGATTTTGGTATGCGTAATCTTCATGGACCAAGTATACCCATTCATTTGTAGATGCTATTGTCATCAGCTTTTTTTTTCAATGGTTCAGTTGTTTTTACATCGTACATGAAATTTCCGCACATAGCACTTAATGTTTATATTCTTGGCAGAAGAAAAGGACTAGATGTCTATATCAAGTCGACTTGCCTAATGTTTGTTCCCTAATAGTCCCTAGTTGCAGTACCTTCTCTTGGAAAGTTATAGAATTCTGTCTATTTGTCAAACCCTTCAAAATGTTATTGATATATTTTTGTGGTTGTTAATTTTGTACCTTGCAGTTATGCGAAATCATTCTTGCATTTGACTTAACTTTACAGGAATTGTTGGTCGTATATCCCCAAAAACATGGGCTGCCATGGAAGTCTTTCTGGGATCAATCGCAACTGAAGAATATGAATCAATGGCATCTGCGTTGGTTGAAATGGGTGCTACAGACACAAATGTTGATTCTAAGGCCTTTGCAAGGGACTTGGAAAAGATGTTCTCATCAATAAAGGCAAGCATTAAATTTAGGTTTTGCCCTAATTGTGTTTTGCTTTCCAAAATAATATTGTTAATCATTTTCCTTGTCCTGGGACTAGTTAGGAGCTAAGGATCGTGTTTAGTAGAATGATACACCCTGTTACCCTTTTTTGCCCTTAAATATGTTTGCTAGAAAGAATGCCAACTGAAAGAGGTGTGCCATAGCTAGAAGATTGCTGGATTTAGAATATAGAACTGGAGTGGTATAGTCACTAGCTAATATTGAATGTGAAACCAGCTTAGTGATGACAATAACATAGTCCCTCAAAGAAAGAAAAAAAGAATAAAAAAGAAATCAAAAACAGCCCCATTGCATCTAACAATCCCTTCAATACAGGATTTGGATACAGAAGTAGTCATAGCAACAGCCAGGGAGCCGGCTACAAATGCAACTGCTGTCTCTGCTAATCTGGTTGTTGATGAGAGACAAATGAATGCACTTTTTCTTGATGTGGTAAGCTGTTGACTGCCTTTAGGTGTAAATGCCTGCAACAAATTATGCAATAAACAATATATTATCTGCAACAAATTAATGTTCTTGAAATTATCAAATTTATCTCTCGGTAAGAAAACAGGATGTATATGGTTAGTGACACAGTAACGTTTAATACAACACTTAAAGAGGGAAATTTTATGAATCTAGTTGGTGTCCTAGTTTTGTCTGCTCATGTAATCACTACTCATATGTTATGTTGCTTGCATGTTCTTATTTCAGATTCGGGTTAGTGAATCATATGGATTGAAATTTCCTCGAGAGTTTGCACTACTACTGAAGCAGCTTTTGTATTTTGATCGGTACACCCGTTTGTTGGCCCCGAACTTGAATATGCTCCAGGACCAAAGGATTTATATTGCTTCAAATCGAAGAAGCAACTACAGAGACAATTTCAGGTGAACCTAGAAGTGCAGATGCAGCTTCCTGTAGTTTGTGTAAATATAAATAAAAGTACTCCGGTATTGAGAATTACATAAGAACAATATCGAGAGCAGGAAAAAGATGTACAATGTACTTTAGGAAAGCAAAGCATATACAGTTTTAGGTATGGAATTGGTCATCATCATATCTTACAATGTTTTTCTTCACCAAGTAGTGACTGGTGTTTACCAATATAGACTTCTTGTTATTAATTTTCCTTTCTATCAAACTTCTTAAATATTGCTCAGTTGGGAGGATCCAATTACTTATTTAGCATGCTCTGCTGGGCTGATAACCTCATCCAATTTTTATGCGTCCTCTGGAATTTCATTTAATAAAAAAATTCTAGGATGGAAAATGGAATGGAAATAGGAACAAGGTTAGTCATCAATACCCACAAGCACAACGTGATACAAGGGAAGAACATGTTGGTTTAGAACTGATAATTGAACTGTAAGTTTTTATAACCAAAAAATAGAAACTGTAAGTATATCAGTTCTTCTCTTCTCTTTGAAGTGCTACTAAAAGCAAACAAAAAAAACAAATGTAGAATAGTTTGAATTATCATTGCACAGAATGAGCTGTACATACACAATCAAATCAAATAGGAACCTCCGGTAAACTTCTATACATACAAAACAATAGAAAACTTGATTTCTACATCTAACATATACTCACTCGGGGGAAATCATATAAGTCCTAGGACAGAATTGACAGAAAAACTGGAAAGAAAGGAAAAGTCCTTTCGAAAAAAATTATAAGTCCATAACATGTAGATATGGCAAAACAAGCTAATGTCTGTCATTGAATAACTTCCAAAAAATCTATGTTTTGACTGGGGCTCTATTCGCTTTCTCCTACTTCTCGATGCTTCAGGTCTAGTAAGGCTACCAAGTAAGGTCTTGCATTTGAGCAAATCCCTCAGGAGTTTCAACATTATCATTCACTGCTTGACAGGTGCATATTCTGAGAAATATCTGTTAGTTCCTTGTGTTCAGGGTTATCTCTGCTTTGAGTATGAGCTTGTCCCTGTGAGAGATGATCGAGAGCCTCTCATTACTTGGCTTGGCGAAGAGTAACCCATGAGTCGATGAAGTGGTGAAGTTGACTTTGGTTGCACCTCCTCAATTTCTGAGGATAAGGACGGTCTTGCTGACACAAATGTTTCCATTGGATACTTATCTTTGTTCTGAGACTGTTTCAAACCAAGCTCCTTTGTCTCCCGCTTTGGATCCAATGAAGTATGTGACATGTTTCTGTCATCTGAATTACCTCGGAGAGAGTTAGAGGGTGCCAAAGTTCCAGGATCACCATCAGTAGAGTAACTTGCCCTGTAAGAGCGCCCATAACCATAATCATCAGAACATGACACAGGATCCGCATCTTGAGAATCAAATGGTTGGGGTGCTGAAGCCAAGTTACTCCCATTAGCAGCGGAATTATAGTCTCCAACCTCGCTTGGTGGAGGGGCTATAGCATTCTGTTCATATGGGACAATATGAGATCTCTTTAGGAGGGAAAACTTAAGCACCTCTGAACAAGCACCACATCTAAGTTTATGGCATCTCCTTTTGAAAAGGAGAAAATCTGCAGGTATCTGCAGCGGTTTTAGGCAGTTATAACAAGTTATGATAGGGGCTCCACCTGCTATGGGGCGGAAATGTCGCTTAGCCAGATGATGTTTCTCCCTAAAAAACTTATTCACATCATGCCTTGTGTGCCTCAGATCATCAGACCTTGTTTCACGGCCCCAAAGGGGCAAGTCAGGTTCCACATACCGTTCGGGACTCGAGGCACTAGACTTATCATAGGATGTCCAGCAACTGTGGTCAGGGTGGACCCTGCATAACCCATTGTTGTTGCAGCGAACGGGAAGAGGCAATGGTGCTGAGCACTGCCAGTCTTTGGGACCACGATGCAAATAGGAGGGATCAACTTGGTGTCCGCTAGTTGTTGCCTCACTGGAGTAAGGTATATGCATAAATTTGCGGTGCTGGGGCGGATAGTGGCTTCCTGCCCTGTGTCTTCTTAGATACCTTTGATAGTTTTGGTCATGAAAGAGTTCCTCCTGAGATGCCTCATAACTGCAGTGCCGCGGAATACGCGGAATACGATTTTCCTTCCAAGTGGCTCCTCCGGCAACCCTTCCACTTGCCTTTCCATTCAAATTGTTAACTTGATCCTGCAGTTCGTAGACCATTCTCAACAGTGTCATCTTGTCTTGTTCAGCTCCCACGGACTTGTCAGATGATTGATAGCCTGAGTTGCGTTGGTACTCATCATGAAATTGAGTTGTAGGGCCTCCTTTTGCATATCCACCTTGGGAAAGTCTTCTAGGGAAAGGCAACCTAGACATATATTCATCAGTCTGTAATCTGTTCCACTCTCGACTTGGATGGCCTTGTCTTCTAGGCTGCATTAATTCATCATCATCCCACTTTCTGTTTTTCATGGCATGATTGTTCTTATCCGAAAAACTTGACCAGGAATCCCTTGCTTGAGGTTGAAATCCTGAATCTCTGTTCATCATGTTTTTCGCCAGGAATTTATCCCTTCTGGGTCTTTCTTCAGAACGGAAAAGGTTTGAACGTATATTTCGGTTGAAGAATTGGTCATCCATGCCATCATAAGAAGAAACACTGCCATCATAAGCATGATGGCTTCTATGTGCTGGGGACTTTGACATATCTCTAGGTGCACCACTAAACTCAGAGCTGGGGTTGAACTCTGTATTTTCAAATGTATCGGGAGACCTTACATGATCAAAGTCATTCGGAACACGATTCTGAGGTTCCTCCAGTTGTTCATTAGGAGAAGATCTAAGGGAATCTGATGATACGCTTTCCCTTGCAGGCATATGCACAGTAACTATTGAACTACTTCCCCTTGTAGCCTCTGGATTGACAGTACTTGAGCTCCTGACAGCAGAATCAATCTCTTTGTTGACGCCTATTTCCACATTTTTTTCTGATAAAGCTAAACTCTCATCATTCATTGATACTGCTGAACCTGCTCGTGTTATTGGTAATGACTCCTTAACTTCATTATGAGCATGCTCAGTTGATGAACAGATTTCATTGGAAACTTCAAGGTGATGTTTCTCACTATCAAAATCACGAGAATCATTTAGATCACTCTGATTGTTGTGTTCTTCGTTTGGTAAGTTTGCATCTCTAAGCTGCTTATGATCACAGTTTTCAGAAGACGTATCAGGATACCTCCCATTGGTTGGATTTGAAGTCCATTCTCCTGTGTCTGGAAGAACAGCATTATGACTTGAGCTGCCAAATTCTCTGTCTTCCGAAGACTTATCTTCACTCTTCTCATTGTTTTGCTCCGAGAAGCATTCTCCTGAGGCAGGGAAAGTAGCCTTTGGACTTAATCTGCCAAATACATTGCCTTCTGAAGACTTCCTCTGATCCCTCTCATTTTTTTGGTCTGAAAAAGATTCTCCCGAGTCAGGAAAATTAGCCTTAGGACTTGAGCTGCTAGATTCATTGCCTTCTGAAGATTTGCTCTGATTCCTCTCATTGTTTTGGTCTGAAGAGCATTCTCCTGAGTCTGAAAGACACGCATTATGACTTGAGCTGCTAGGTTCTTTGTTTTCGGAAGACTTATCTTCACTCTTCTCATTGTTTTGGTCCGAAAAGCATTCTCCTGAGTCAGGAAAATTAGCCTTAGGACTCGAGCTGCTAGATTTATTGCCTTCTGAAGATATACTCTGATCCCTCTCATTGCTTTGGTCTGAAGAGCATTCTCCTGAGTCCGAAAGACTTGCATTATGACTTGGGCTGCTAGATTCTTTGCCTTCGGAAGATGTATCTTTACTCTTCTCCTTGTTTTGGTCTGGAAAGCATTCTCCCAAGTCAGGAAAAGTAGCCTTGGGAGAACTTTCGCTGCTAGATTCGCCGCCTTCTGAAGATTTTCTCTTATCACTCTCATTGTTTTGCTCTGAAGAATATTCTTCTGAGTCTGGAAGAGTTACATTATGACTTGAGCTGCTAGATTCCTTATCCTCAGAATACTTATCTTCATTCTTCTCATTGTTTCGGTCAGAAACGCATTCTCCCAAGTTGGGAAAAGTAGGCTTATCACTGTCGCTGCTTGATTTATTGCCTTCTGAAGATATTCTCTGATCCCTCTCATTGTTGTGGTCTGAAGAGCATTCTCCCGAGTCAGAAAGAGTTGCATTGCGACTTGAACTGTTGGATTCTCTATCTCCAGAAACGTGATCCAGTTCAATCGTCTGAGCTGCCAGAGTCTCATTCAAGATAGAGCTCCTGCTCCTCATTCCATTTATTTGCCTTTTTGCTGCATTCAGGAGGAGAATTTAGAAAAATAATACCAATAATGAATTCAAAAACTTAGTAGCACGATGTGACAGTTATTATCTATAAAAAGGCCGATGAAAAAGAGGGAGCTCAATTACTCAGAAGAATGTTGGTTATAAGAGGAAAAAAAAAATTCAGAATATTGAATCTATAATTTGAGAACTAGTAAAAGGTCGATGCAATTGGGGTAACATGCTTATTCAATGTCTTAAGTTAAACATTTTAAGCAATCTAAGAACACAAATTAAGTCTTTTAATCTGTTATAATTTGAGAAAGTAACGACAAATATTTACGAAATCTTCTTTAAGTTTTAGCCCCAGAAAGATCTTTATCAACATGCTAGAGAATCTGTATGCTGAAATGAATTAAACAACAAATTAAGAAGATGGCAAGATTAATGAGATGATGATTTGCTTACCTTGGAGAGTGGCACCACATCCACCACATCTGTAGACCCGAAAATCTGGCAACTCTGGAAGAAGCTGCAGGCATTTAGGACATCTAACCAGTCGAACTTTAGTGGTCGATTCAGGCGCCATAGTTTGTCCCAAAAACAAGAAACAAAAACTTGGGCTTCCAGCACAAAAGTCCCAAACTTAACAAACAGATTCAAGCATGACGATTAATTTGTCCTTGTTGAGAAACCATGAGGCTCAAACACCATCTGCAATGTAAACGTAAACAAAAGATGAACATGGCATGCATCAGAACAAATGCTAAATCTCTAAAAAGAAATGGGTTTTTTAGATCCATGTAAGTAAGTAAAGGGTATCTCTAACAAGCCACAAGCTAAGAAATTAAAAAGACAAACATGAAATTCTGAATCACAATTCGAGCAAATTAAGGAAGCAGTACCTTTTGAACTGTAGTGAATATAATAAGA